GCCCCAGCCCCGAAAAAAGGCTCCAAGAAGGCGTGACCAAGGCGCAGAAGAAGGACGGCAAGAAGCGTAAGCGCAGCCGCAAGGAGAGCTACTCCATCTACGTGTACAAGGTGCTGAAGCAGGTCCACCCGGACACCGGCATCTCGTCCAAGGCCATGGGCATCATGAACTCGTTCGTCAACGACATCTTCGAGCGCATCGCGGGCGAGGCGTCGCGTCTGGCGCATTACAACAAGCGCTCGACCATCACTTCCCGGGAGATCCAGACGGCCGTGCGCCTGCTGCTTCCTGGGGAGCTGGCCAAGCACGCTGTGTCTGAGGGCACTAAGGCCGTCACCAAGTATACCAGCGCCAAGTAAACAGTGAGTTGGCTGTAAACAACCCTAACGGCTCTTTTAAGAGCCACCCATGTTCTCAGGGAGAGAGCTGGTGTATGCTCTTTTGTGTTTGCGAGATAAAGGGATTACTGTAGCAATTTTACGTAGACTTTCCTGTCTCGCCAAGCGCGAGATTCGCTAACGACAGGGACAACGGTACCTGATCCTGGCATAAAGTCTAGAACTCCTTATGTAAGGTAACCTTGCCCCGGGCTTTTCGTTTATCATTTAGGAACCTCCTACATCGCCCACCTACCAATTCTGATACCCATTAGGTTAATTAATGAGGGAAGCAATACTTTTAAAAATTCGTAGCAAATTCAAATACTCCCCAGTCACCTATCAGGGACAAAGAGTTGAACTCCTGCAGGGGAGCAGATTTTGCGCGGGCAGTTTAAATTTTCGCGGGGCGCGCCTGTCCTTCCACTCCATGTCCTGATTGGTTGCGGGCACCCGGGCAAAGTAAATTTTCGCGGGGCGCGCCTGTCCTTCCACTCCATGTCCTGATTGGTTGCGGGCAGCCGGGCAAAGACTTGAGGGTTTCAGTGCGCGGGAGGTATATCCGCTTCCCGCCTCCCCAGGTCCAGCGCACACACGGTCCTTCAGTAAACATTTTCGGGTTATCTATCCTGCTTTCCATTTTTTCCATTTTCTTAACACTTTATTCATTTAGAGAATGAAATTTATTATCTTGAGATTTTCTTTGAAGAGAAAGGAACTTGGTGGGTGTAATTTTCAACCTGAAATACCAACGGTTTTTTTTAAATTAGGATATTGCTTTTCTTTTGTCGTATATCCATGTAATAAGAAACATTACAAGACAAAACAGGACTGTTTGGTATCCAGTAAAGGCAGAGAAGCTTGAGGGGTTTATCTCAGACTTCTGAGACAACAGTTTCTATTTTAAAGGTCCTTTGGTTTGTATTTTAAATCCTATTTTGACTTTGCCTGGGACCAGTGAAGAAAAACAAATTCCACATCAGGTTGTCATGAGAACCAGGCAACCAACAAACAATACTTCTCTAGATTATAGCTGTTCAAATTGTGTGTCTTTTAGGTAAAAAGCTATGATCTTCAAAGCATTTGGAAGCTTCCACTGTGGCTGTTTTTTAGTTTAGGTAGTAATTTTACATGAATTTAATTTACATAAATAAAATTACCTGATTTATCTAAAATGAATCTACCTTTACCATAGTAATAATGTCTGAAAGCAACCAGTATTTTGTTAAATCCATTATCAAATACACTCTTCCCCTTTGTTGACTCATCCTACCCTTATTTCAATGCCCACTTCAACTTTGCTCTCTGAATTTTCTTCCCTTTTATGAGCCTTTTCTAATAGTTTGTCCAGCATTTGGATACTGCTTCCATGTAGTTTTTCACAGATATCCATTTGAGTTGCTACTAACCGGTTTCTTGTATGTTTCCATATAGGGAATGTACACTCATTATACTTGAAAATAAAGAAAGAAAGGAAGAAAGAAAATTATTTTCCTTCACCATCTCCATCCCACACTAATGGTAACCAAGTTCTGTAAATAAACAAAACAGATGATTTTTGTTATTTCTTGTGTCTCCATTAATCCAAATAATCAGATGATAATTTCCAAGCTAAATACTCTTTTTTTTACTGTTTCTTTGTCTTATAGGATATAGGAATCAGAATAAGAAGAATTTGTGGAAAAAGTAGGGGGATTAGGGTAGAAGATGAGTCATAGGCAATAGTCTATCCCCAGATGAAAATTTGGAAAGACTAAGTTTTTGAAAACTACAAAGTTCAAAAAGTCCCAGCCAATTCTCTTATTACTCAGAAAATTAAACTGCCTAAGAAATAAATAAATCAGGTAAATAAGTTGTCATCTTTTGGGTTGTTTGCACCTTGGTGGAGTCTCCTTATGAGTAAGGCAAGGATATAATCCTTTGAAAATACAAATGCTATCAATTTAACTAGTTATTAATCAGCTTCAGAGGAACTTTTTCGAAGCTAAACGAACACAGAATGTCATTTGAAAAAATGTACCTTGTGATGTATCTTATCACAAAATAAATAGATGTTGCTCAAAATACTTAGAACTAGTTGCCAGGTCTTCCCCAGAGGTCACAAACCAGAATGATGCCTTGACCATTGCCTTAGATGAACTAGCTGTTTGTAAAGGACTTTTTTTTCGAGCTACATTAAATCATATTTGCTTTTTCTACTGCACACATATTTCTTTGTAAACTATCTAC